GGGAAATGGGCCAAACACTAGGTAGGACATTCCTATAGTTCCGTGATTCCATTCTGGAACCACTTGTTGCTCTCAATCGAGTCTCCCTTTGTTATTTTAGCTATCTGGGGTCAGTTACATGGCTTCTGACCCTATGAACATATGATTTAAAAGATTAGGGTCTCGGATTAGATGCTTAAATTTTATGAGCCCAAGTTTCTTTATTTGTGAAATAGGGTTTTAAAAGAAGTACTGTAGGGATAGGAATGGAGAGATGGCTCAATGGGTGTGACGTTTGCTGTGCAAGTGTGGGAACTGGAAATCAGATCCCCAGAATCCATGTAAATATTGAGTAGGCATGGTAACCCATTTGTAGTCCCAGCACATGGGAGGCAGAGACAGAGGGACCCTGGGACAAACTGGCTAGTAAGCTGGCTAGCTAGTCTAGATAAATCAATGACCTCTGAGTAAAGTGAGAGACCTCTCACTTCATTGTATCAGGGAGAAAATGATCAAAGAATATTCCTCTTGTAACGGCAAAAACAGAACAAAATCAGAAAATTACAGGTCAATACCCCTGATGAACATAATCAAATGTGCTCAATAAATACTTGTGAAACAAATATAGGCAGACATCAAAAAGCCAAGGACCATAGTGTACCAACAAAAAGGAAAGAAAGAAACCCTGATACCAGGCATGAGAAGCTCTCTTTGAGTTATTGGACAGGGTTGTGAAAAGACCCCCACAGCTTTGAAGGCTTTTGCTATTGCCTTTGGATGCTCCTCAGAGGTAGAAGGGAAGTCCTATTGCTGAAGACACCATGCACTTTGAACACAGAGCTCAAAGATCTCTGATCTATATTTAATCTAAAAACCTTTTCCCTGATGATCAGGGAAGATTTCTTTTCTTTTTAAAATAATTTTATTATTTTTTATATTAATCACAGGTTATTTACTTTGTATCCCCACTGTAGTCCCCTCCCTCCTTCCCTCCCAATCCCACCCTCCTTCCCTCATCTCCTCCCTGCCCCTCTTTAAATCCACTGATAGGGGAGATTCTTCTCCCCTTCCATCTGACCCTAGCTTATCAGGACTCTTATCAGGATTGGCTGCAATGTCCTCCTCTGTGGCCTAGCAAGGCTGCTCCTCCCTCAGGGAGGGGGGAGAGGTCAAAGAGCCAGCCATTGAGTTCATGTCAGAAATAGTCCCTGTTCCCCTTACTAGGGTACCCACTTGGATACTGAACTACCGTGGGCTACATCTGAGTAGGGGTTCTAGGTTATATCCATACATGGTCCTTGGTTGGAGAAACAGTCTCAGAAAAGACCCCTGTGCCCAGATATATTTGGTCCTTGTGGAGTTCCTGTCCTTTCCAGGTCATACTAACTCCCCCTTCTTTCATATGATTCCCTGCACTCTGCTGAAGGTTTGGTTATGAGTCTTAGCATCTGCTTTGATACACTGCTAGGTAGAGTCTTTCAGAGGCCCTCTGCAGTAGGCTCTTGTCCTGTTACTTATTTTCTCCTACTTCCAATGTCCATCCCATTTGTCTTTCTAAGTGAGGATTGATCATCTTACTCCTGGTCTTCTTTCTTGTTTACTTTCTTTAGGTGTACAGAATTTAGTATGTTTATCCTATCTTATAGTTCTAGTACCCACTTATAAGTGAGTGTATACTGTGTGTGTCTTTCTGCTCCTGGGATACCTCACTCAGGATGATCTTTTCTAGATCCCATAATTTGCCTGCAAATTTCATGATTTCCTGTTTTTAATTGCTGAGTAAAGCAAAGGACACTGTTGTCAGACAAAATGACAACATACAGACCAGGAAAGGATCTTCACCAACCCTATATCTGACAGAGGGCTGATGTCCAGAATATATAAAGAACTAAAGAAGTTAAAAGGCAATAAATCAAGCAATCCAATTAAAAAATGGGGTAAGGAGCTAAACAGAGAATTCTCTGTAGAGGAATATAGAATTGCAGAGAAAAACTTAAAGAGATGCTCAACATCATTAGCCATCAGGGAAATGCAAATCAAAATGACCCTGAGATTTTACCTTATACCCATCAAAATGGCTAAGATAAAACTCAATTGGCAACACATGCTGGAGAGGTTGTGGAGAAAGGGGAACCCTCCTCTATTGCTGGTGGGAATGTAAACTTGTGCAACCACTCTGGAAATCAATCTGGCACTTTCTCAGACAACTAGGAATAGCGCTTCCTCAAGATCCAGCCATACCACACCTAGGCATATATCCAAGAGAGGCTCAATTAGGAATAGTGCTTCCTCAAGACCCAGCTATACCACACCTAGGCATATGCCCAAAATTTGCTCAAGTACACAAGGACATTTGTTCAACCATGTTTGTAGCAGCTTTATTCATAATAGCCAGAACTTGGAAGTAACCCAGATGTCCATCAAAGGAGGAATAGATACATAAATTGAGGATCAGTTTTCATGGTACCTGAAGGAGCCATGCAATATTTCAAAGGAGGGGAGCAATGATGTTTTTGAACCACAAAATGAATAACAGATAAGATAATCCTAAGGGTGCAGTAGTGGCATACATACCTTGTCAGTAACCAACAGCTCTCTAATTTGACTAAAGACCTGTTCAACAAAAGGGAAATTATATCTTGTACTGTAAACCTAGTGAGCTACCCAGGACTAGTGAAGTAAAGTCATGGATCTTAGAGGAGACTTTATAGCTACCACTTTAGTAAAAACAGCACAATTCCTATTTTCTAATTATTCATCCACATACCCACAGATAAGTGTATTTCTCACCCTTCATCAATGAAACTTCTTTTTGTAACAGATGAAGACCATTATGGAAAACCAAAACCAATCAAAATGCAGAGTTGTGGAGCCCAAATGCTACTGATTTATCTACAACACAACTCCTGCATATAAGGCTCAGGGATCACTGTAGAAGTGGGGTAAGAGAGATTACATATGCCAGAGGAACAGGGAATTTGCTGTGAATTTGCATTTCCTTGAAATTTCAGAGGCTACCGCCATGGTGTCTCACTAACATGGCTGCCTAAACCTGAGTTGAACAAAGAAGACTCCAATGGACACTTAACATGGATAGAAGAAAGCTCATTAGGACTCAGCCCTAAACAAAGAACTATAGGCAACTAAGGAAAGGTGAGAATAGGAGAAACAGTCCTCCGCAAGGAAGAGTACACCAAATGGTCAGCCCTAAAAACATACATAAAATAACATTATATAGACTGATATAGACTGAGCAGGTTGCATTTATATTTATGCATATATATGTATTCACATATATTTGCATGTGATAACATATATTTGCATGTGAATGTGTGTGTATGTGTTTATGTACAATTAAAGACAAAGGGGCCAGGAATTTGAAGGAGAGAAAGAGAAGAGGTACATGGGAAGATGTATGGAGGAGGGGAAGGGCAAATGATGTCATTATATTATAATCTCAAACAAAAAGATGCATGGGCATCTGAATCTGTATGGTAATTTAAAAGCTTTACAGAGTGCCTACAGAGGAGATTGCTGGGGAAAGCCATAATTTCTCTTGAGTTCCTTGCATACTGCTCCTGTACAATGAGTATTGGTTCCCATTTGCCTATTTAATTTATTCTTTTGGCTTAATATGCCCACAAAAGTGTAGAAGCTTACATTTTGCTCCCCACATAAGGCTAAAGGCATAAATCCATAGATTGAACTAATTCATTTAGTCAACGAATGAGTCCTTTGTTTATTTCTTCATTTAATAAGCACTAATGACTTTATGTAGAACTGTGATATTCTGTGAACAATAAAAATCATTCTAAGACAATAGGTCTAGATATCTTGAAGCCTATTGTCAACTACTTTCGACAAATCATAAGTTGTTTTTTTTTTTTAGCAGACTTTAATAAATGAATGGGGTGAGAGGAGTATTTATTCACAACCAATAAGACACTCAAGCATGGGGGCTAGAGAGATAGCTCAGAGATTAAGAGCACCGACTGCTCTTCCAAAGGTCCTGAGTTCAATTCCCAGCACAGTGACTTGCAACCATCTATAATGAGATCTGTTGCCCTCCTCTGGCATGAAGGTATACATGCAGGCAGACATAATAAACAAATCTTAAAAAAACAAAAAAACAGCGACACTCAAGCAGGTTAGGAACCTGGAGGCAGGGGCCGATGTAGAGGACATGAAGGAGTTCTGCTTACTGGCTTGCTCAGCTAACTTAGAACCTGGGATCACCAGCCTAGGGATTGATTCACAGTCGTCTGGTTCTTCCTCCATTAATCACTAAACAAGAGAAGGCCTTAAAGGCTTGCTTCCCAGCCTGATTGTATGAAGGCATTTTCATAGTTGTTGTTCCCTCCTTTCAGATGATTCTAGCTTGGGTCAAGCTGACACAAAAATGAGCCAGCATGGAATGTTTATGTGTTCCATGTTCTTACTGAACTCCTAGTTTACAAAATAAAATCTCCCAGATTTCCCAAGACCCTGGGCTTAAGGGCACCAATTGAATTCAGTCCGAGTGTGCTACTAACTTATGCAAACAATTCCAGATTTCCATGGGATGGTGACGGCTTTTCTCACTCTGGATTGGCTCTGAAGGCAGAGGTGATTTGGACATCAATTTCAAGTTCAGGCTGAAAAAATACCTGTAAAGGCATGAACAAACACCTAGGCCAAATGGCTGCAGCTGGTTTAGTGCAATTGCTTCTCTTATTGGTTTCCAAGTTCTGTGGGTGTGGTGGCTGTGTCTGGTGAGCTAAGCTTTGGCTATATGCCCATTCCTAATACTGCAATCTCCTCTTTTGGATGGGGCCAGATCTTTGCTTTGAATTACAATGGCACACAGAGAACAGTCTGTTGGATTCTGACTTTTGTCCTTTACTTACGTTAACTCAAACCATTCCTTTCATTTCCTTCCTTGTTCTTTCTTTCTTTCTCCCTCTTCTGCCCCTCTCTTTTTGTTTTCTCTAAAAAAGATCCTTTGGAAACTAAAGCTTTAAGAACTAAAAGGTGCAGAAAACCCTGCCCCTAGAAGCATTGCAGGTGTGGCCTGCTGTGTCACATGTGCTTGAGTAGGTGACAGAGAGGAGAGAGGCTATGTCCACATTCAGTACTCTGACCTATAAACATCAAAATGATTAGTAGCCTAACAGTCCCTGAAAAAAAGCGAACCTGAGATGACCACCAGCCTGGCCCAGGCAGGGAGCTAGCCAGAGATGACCACCAGTCCAGTGCCGAACAGGGAGCAAGGCAGAGACTAGAAAACCCTGCCTGAGACCATGAGCCCTGGGTAGCAATGAGTCTGAGACAGATGACCCTTGCTTGCATGGGGCCACTGGGATGGCCTAGACAAGGCATGATTCCAAGACAGGCCATCAGACAGACACCATGGGACCTGGACAGGGAGCTAGCCTAAGATGACAACCACTCCAGTGCAGTGCAGGCCTGAAACAGGAAGACCATGCCTGAGATGACTTCTGCCCAGCACCATAATGCATGCGCCAGGCATGCCACCCCTGAGATCTCTCCTCGGATGATCCCAGACACTCAGAGACCCCAGGTGCCACTAAGAGTAGCAAGTAAGTGGTGGAGAAATAAAAGAGAAAGAGAAACAGAAGGATGTAGGCACAATGAAGAGAGGCAGAACTGGAGACTTGAGGGAAGTGAGGAACAGTCTGATGTGAGTAGCCAGTGATGCCACCTGGGGACCATTGTGGGGTCCTGGCCTGTGCTGCCTTCAGGGGACACATCTAGGTTCATGGCCCTGCAGTCTCAGAAGTCTGTTACCACCAAAGGCCAGGCAGACATCCTTGGTCTGGGCTGCAACCCAGGAACATGTTCATGTCAGAGGCCTGTGCAGAACTGGCCCCACCCCTCACCTGGGCATCCTGGGGAGATCTGACCCTACCCTTAGCCAGCTGTAATACTTGGGAGAGCGGGCCCAGGCCCCACACATTGCAGGAGTTGATGGAGGAGCTGACCCTACCACTCATCTTCCATGAGATGGCATGGACTAGGAAGAGATACCTTCCTTACTTCTCGTCCCTCACCACTTGTGGCAAGTGGGAGACCTGGCCCTTGTGTCATGAGAGCAGGAGAGCTGGCCCTAACCCTCACCTGCTGCAACAGAGGTGCAGGCCCTACACCTCTTTGCCTGGGCAGCACAGTAAACATGACCCTGGATGTGGGGTTTCAGGTGAGCCAGTCCCAAGGGCTTGGGAGTGGGAAGGCTGGCAGACTGGCCAGCTCAGATACCTCTCAGACTCAGATCCAGGGATTTGAATTGGCCCACTCCAACATCTACTCCATCCATGAATTGCTAGAGTGCATAAAGGGGCAGGTACTATAGATCTAAAATCACAAGATCTCCATGACACAGGGTAACAACAAGATATCAGAAAGGAGTCCCAGTAAGGTCCTAGTATTGATAGTATAGCAGAAGCCAGAGGCCTCAAACCAGACCAAGGAGTCATGGTAATGAACATTTGCAAGCAAAAAAGTGTGGACAAAAGGGTATACTGTGGGACACACTGTGACACACTACAGCTTCCACAGTGAGTTTTTTTTTTAACTCTGTTGAGTGGAGGAAGTTGTAAGAGTGGAGGTGTGAGGGGACAGAGGTATTAGGGGACAGAGAGATGAGTGGGATTGGGGGGCATGATGTGAAATTCACAAAGAACCAATAAAAAGTAACAAAAAGTGCAGAAAACAAGAGGAAGCACATCAGGATTGTCAAAGAGAGTATTTATGCTCATCTTTGTAACCGTCCAGCCTGAGGGAGGAAACTAGGCATAGTGACTATAGAATATATAAGGCCTATTAAGAGAGAGTTCAGTCAAATGATGAATGAATGGATAGAGAAAATCTGGAGATACGTGTTCAGTGAAATATTACCCAGCCTTATAAAGGAAGGAAAGCTTGCCAATCTTGCCATTGTTGACAGCAGACACTGTGAAAGTGAAATAAGTCATAGGTACGAACACAAATGTTTCATGATCTTAAAGCAGGAGGTAACACCGGGTAGGCAGTAAGGGAAAAGGATCACATTGAAAAGCAAAGTTGCTTAATATGTTACAGTGGGAATGAATGGTAGAGTAAAAAGACAGTGTTGGGATTAAAACAGTGAAGTCACAAGTAATAGGATGAGAGACAAAAACACAATGTAGTTGCCTATGTTACAACTGAGCTAGACATGTAGGAGGAAGGACAGAGCTCTGGGTCATTGATAGTGTGCTGCCCCAACTCTGCTTCACTTCCCTCCCTCAGGGTAGACTGCTCCATTGCACACCAAACTGGGCTGTAGGGAGGGAAGCTTAGACAGGCATGGGTGAGTGCAATGAAGGACCTTAGTCAGCTTTGATTACACCCAGGAAAAGCTTCAGAGAACTGGTTCTGTTTACTGGGGGAGGCAGAGAGGAAGAGGGTATTTATGCTCTTAAGGTGGTGGCCAGGGTCTTCAGGGACAAGGTTTGTGTGGTTATGTTCCATTGGCCAGGGCATGGGTGTTGAAAGTTACTTCATCTGCATACTCAGGGGCTGTAGGGTCTAGGGAAAAAGCCTTCTAGGGTCAAACAAAGAGTGTGTCATTCTCTGCTCAGTGGGAGACTGGGTTATTAGGATTGTGCAGTGGAGGTGGAGTTATACTGAGGGCTGATAAATCACTCCATGAGACTGGTTCCATGAGAGGGGTTATTAGGGGAATGGAGGGTCACAGAGACCATCTCTGGGCAAGGTGGGAGAAAGAGAGAGACAGAAGGGGCAAGTCTTCTTATTAGGTGGCCCAGTGCAGGCATGGGAGGTTGCAGGTGGTCCTTTGGTGATCTCAAAGATGCTTGATGTCCCTTTTGTCAGGTCTCTTGGGGGCTGGACGTAGAGATGCTTGCTTACAGATCCCATCATTTCTCCCTGGTACATTTACACAATGGAATACTACTCAACAATTAAAAACAAGGAAATCAAGAAATTTGCAGGCAATTGGTGGGATCTAGAAAAGATCATCTTGAGTGAGGTATCCCAGAAGCAGAAAGACACACATGGTATATTCTCACTTATAAGTGGATATTAGACATATAATGTAGGATAAACATACTAAAATCTGTATACCTAAAGAAGCTGATCGAGAAAGAGGACCCTGGGTAAGATGCTCAATTCTCATTCAGAAAGGCAAACTGAATGGACATCAAAAGAGGGAGAAAACAGGGAACAGGACAGGAGCCTACCACAGAGGGCCTCTGAAAGGCTCTACCCTGCAGGGTATCAAAGCAGATACTGAAACTCAGCCAAACTTTGGGCAGAGTGCAGGGAATCATATGAAAGAAAGGGGAGATATAAAGACCTGGAAGGGAGAGGAGCTCCACAAGGAGAACAATAGAACCAAGAAATATGGGCCCAGGGGTCTTTTCTACTCCAACCAAGGACCATTCATGGAGATAACCTAGAACCCCTGCACAGATGTAGTTATGGCAGCTCAGCCTCCAAGTGGGTGACTTAGTAAGGGGAAAAGGGGCTATCTCTGACATGAACTAAGTGGCTGGCTCTTTGATCACCTCACACTGAGGGGGACAGCCTTACCAGGCCACAGAGGAAGACAATTCAGCCAGTTCTGATGAGACCTGATAGGCTAGGATCAGATGGAAGGGGAAAAGGATCTCCCCTATCAGTGGACTTAGAGAGGAGCATGGGAGATGAGGGAGGGAGGGTGGGATTGGGAGGGAATGAAGGAGGGAGCTACAGCAGGGATGCAAAGTGAATAAGCTGCAATTAATATAAAAAATAAAAATAAAAAATAAAAGTGAAGAATGAGGAAGGGGGCAATGGTTGGGTAGGCATAGGGGCGACGTTTGCTCTTCAAGCTGATTTCTATTAGAGGCATTGCCATTCTCAGGGTTTAGCTGGTCCCCACCGTCAGGGTTGATTGGAAAGTCATTGTCATCTGGTTCTGTGGGCAGAAGTTGATAATCCTATAAGAGTAACTGTTTAATGGTTTGGTTAGAGAATTCTTGCATTTGTTGTTGGAGGAATGTAGAAAAGAAGTTAATAAAGCAGGGTGCAAAAAGCAAAAGCAGAAAGATACGCAGAAATGTGAGGAAGGGCCGACCACTTCCATATTGGGTTCTCAAAGGCCCAAGAATTAGAGGCCTCGAGCTGTTCTCTTTGCTTTTATAGATTTGTCTAGAGATGTTGGATTTTGTCTTTCACTATACTCGACTGGTTGACATAAAAACAGTATTCCTCTTGGAGGAAGATGCAAAGGCCACCTTCTTTAGCTGTGAGTCACTCTGTTCTTGGAGAGTTAGTATTGTCTAAACCACTTGCTGGAGATTCTGGAAGAACTGGGAAAGTTAGTGAAGGAGCCAGTCCTGCTGTCCCAGTCCCAAGAGCTGCCGCGATTCCTTAAACAGCCAAGAGGGGCAAAATTTCAATTGGCCTCTTATCCTGCTGGGCAGCTATTGAGTCCACAACCAGGGCTGGTAAGGGCTCCTTTTCATTTATTACCCCTAGCTTGGGAGAAGAGGAGCAACAGCGTGTAAACTCCTGACCAGCCAGAAGGCAGACCATGTACCTGAGTACAACAAAGAATTGAATTATTATTAGCAGTAGGGTGTTGCAGTTGAGATGAGGTATTGAGGATTATAGTTTTATTACAGTTTAAAGAACTCAGCATTTCTACAGAGTCTGTCCCAGATGCCTTGAAACAGCTTGCCATGCCAAAGAGGGTGATATGAAAAAGGCAGGGGGTTGTAGCAACATCAGAATCAGGGCAGTTAGTGAACGGTGAAGTAAGATTACTTGATAGGGTCACTGGAGAAGCAGTCAGCGGTAGTTATGAGTTGGTTCCAGGTGAGACACACAGCCAACAAGCTCTAAAATGGCCCCATTTGGGTGACATTAAGGAGCTTGTACAATGTGGTCAGAATGTGAAGTAGGAGATGAAATGACAGGTTTGTATTATTTAGGAAGGAGGATGTCAGAGAGGCAATGACCTTAGAGGACTGTTTAATTACCTTCTCTACTTCTCCTATCCCCAGGGATTAGGTAGTTGGGATGTATTTTCTTTGTATATACATTGTACTTATCAGTAAATTGGGTGTGTTTGTCCTGTGGGACCGGCAGTGGACCATTCCGATGGCTGTGGGAAGGTGAGAGGCTTCTAG